CCAAAGATCTAACAACAGTAGATTCTGGTAAAATAAAGAGCATTCAATTCAACTGAAACAAAAAGGGGAAGAGATAAGCATATGAAAACATCACCATTCTTATTTTATATTTCAAATGTGCTTGTTGTAGAAGTCACAAGCACTCTCAGTCTGGTCACTGGTGGACTCCTTCTCCATTGTGACAAAACTTTTTTTGGGGAAAAGAATGGATGTTACTTGAAACAAAAAAATAATATAAGTGACTTTACAGATAACCACAGTAGAACTGGTAGCATTTTTGTTACTTTAGAATAAGAGAACTAAATTCTGTTAAAATGGATGACTTGAAATCATGGCAAATTGTTTTAAGCATATTAAAATTAATTCAAGAGAAATATGCTGTTGCACTGAAATTAAGAAGTATAAGAAAGTAATTTATTATGAATTTGCTCAAAACATTATTGAATGCAATATCCTTATCAAATGTTATATTACACGTAATTGTTCCTTAACAATTATAGTTATGATGGCACTGAATGAGCAGACTTACATCTGGTCCTTGAAGTTGTGGCTAGTGCAGCTTCCCCAAAGTCACATGACCACAATTTTGTTGCTTGGCAACTGCCTCACAATTGTGATGGTCGCAATGTCCCACAGTCATATGACTGCCATCTATGACTTTCACTGCCAGCTTCTAGCAAGCAATATCAATGGGGAAGCCATTAGGAGGTTAAAAATGGACTTGTAAATTCACGCTTAATTATAATGCAGAATATGCTTAACAAAAATGTCATGTGATGTTACACTTTACAACCAAATTGCTTAGCAACTGAGTTGCTGGTTCCAATTACCATTGTTAACTAAGGACTCTGTACTCTTCTTTCTAGGGCTGATCTAAACTATTTATTAAATGCGCATGCCTGCCATCTCTCAACAACTCTGGACAGCTCAGAAGAAAAAGTCATCAGAAACAAGAAAAATAGAGCAAGAAACAAAATAAAAGATGGCAAGGAGGATAAAATAAACATACAGAATGAAAAAGAATCAAACCAACAGTCCAAGGGGAATCCGGTCACCCTTGTCAAAAGCCTGTGAAACATCAGCAGGTTGGTGTTGGACTAAAATAATCTAGACATAAAGTAAGTCTCCTGTTTGAGTGCCTCTTGGCTCCATTTTCTCCCATTTTTATTTAAAATTTATACAAACCTATGAGGGAAGTTATCCATTAGCATGGGAGTGCAGTCTCATCATTATGTTGATACTCAATTGTGTAACACTGCTCTTAGCTGACCAAGTGTTTGTCAAGGTTTTGGCCCAATGCCTGGATGTCAGAGACGACTGAATGGAGAACAGGCTTCAGCTCAACTCTAGTAAAAGACCAAGTGGTTGGAGCCCCTAATTCTAATGGAGATATTTCCTTATTGGGGGAATCCTAAGTGGGGATTTATACCTCCCCACTTAAAATTGCATATAATTTGGGAGCTCTTTTAGCTCCCAAAAGCTCGTTTAGTTTTTGCTGGAGTGGATGACATCTGTGGCCCAGAGAGCTTTCATACAATGTTTGTGTTTTGTGTACCAATTGTACATTTCTGATTTGGCAAATTCTGTTTATGGTCAGTCATGCTTTATTGCTGCCAAATTAGTGCAATTCATTGAACATGGCACTACCCTTATAAACTATCCAGAAGCTACAATTATTCCACAATAAAGCTGCACAGGTACTTGTGTACACACCTCACTACATCCTCTTACTGTATTTTTCAGACTATGAGATGCTCTGGATTATAAAATGCACTTAGCTTTTGGGGAGGAGAACAAGAAAAAAAAATCTGCCTCTGCCTCCCAGCAATTTGCCTCCTTGCAGCAAACAGCAGTCAGCTTCAGCACAGCCTGATTTAGCACGAGCAGCTGATTGGTGGTTGGATCTGCCTCCCGGAATACCGCCTATCAGCTGTTCCAGGTTGCGGGGATGGCTGCCACCCATCACCATTTCTGCCCATCACCACCTCTGCACGCCACATTTTTGGCCTCTGTGCACTCCATTTTCAGCCTCCAAGTGCCCCATTTTTGGTCCATTCCAGGTGGCGGGAATAGGCGGCAATCCCTGCTGCTTGGAATTGGCTGAAAATGAGGTACATGGAGGTGGAAAACAGGACACACAGAGGCTGAAAACGGGACATGCGGAGGTGGAAAACAGGACACGTGGAGGCTGAAAATAGAGCACAAAGAGGCAGCAATAGATGGCGGTGATCCTTGCAGCCTGGAACAGCTGATAGGTGGCCTTCCAGGAGGCAGATCCAACTGCCAATCAGCTTCTTGTGCTAAATCAGGCTGTGCTNTTTACTTTTGCCAGAGAATTTATCTGTGTTTATTTTGGGCTTGCAGCCAGCAAGAGCCGGGACTGATAAAAACATTCCTTTGCAAGCTTTGTTTGGCTTTAGTTTCTGAACGAACAAGGTGGAGGTCAGAACAGATGACAAACAACTCCATCTTTATAAAATTTAGTCAGAGCTTTTATTTATCCCATCCAGATCTTCACAGCCTATTGGTACTTTTCATTTTGAAAGGATAGTTACTAATTCTGATTAAATTATTTTTTTAAAATTATCCTATTTCACAACTTGGGAAAATTGATGGCAGTAATACTACAATAGATTTCCATAATGTCAAATTAAATGTGATTTGGAGTTACACAGGAATGAGAGAAGCAAGGAAAAAAAACAAGGACAGGAAGTTTTCTGAAGTTAGCAAGGTCAATTCTAGAATGCTTGGTAAGTTATGTACTTGCAAATGATTTGTGAAATGATATATGTCCTGTTATTATTAGTTTGTGACAGGATTCATAATCCAGTCTGTAGATGAGATGCTTAATTGTTTTTAATTTTCCAAATTTTAGAAATAATCACTCAATAGGATTAGTTTTATTTTTTCTATTCATTAAAGAGTGGAATACAATCATTTCTTTCTTTTTTTAAACTTTGCATTGTTAAATGCTTCCCAGTTTGATTTTATCTGTAATTATGCAAACATTTAAAAGGGTTAGCTATGCTCATTGAAAACTAACACTTTGGTTTGAGGTTAAGCCAGTATGCTAAATTTGACCACACAGTCACTTAGTCCTTTACGCACAAGTGTCCAACCACTAAACAGCCCTCGACGAAGCAGAATAAAAAGGGCATCCTTTAGGACTGATCATTCTGTACAACTATGAACATCCTGAGTTGTGGCCTACTCTATTTTTGTCTGTATCATTGGGCAGATTCCAGCAAAGTTTAGACCTTAATTGCTCCAAAACTGATCAGTTCATGAAAACATCTGTCCTCCATTCCAGATCAGGCTTACTATGCCAGTCAAGTGGTTAATATATATTTGTACAATTAGTTGTTTGCCAAAAAAATTTTGAAAAAGATTTGAAAAACAAGGAAAGTGTATTTGGCTATACAACTATCCCAAACAAAGAAGGAAAATACAATCTACTAGTTTTTTCCCTCACCCAAATTCCCAGTTTACTACAATTGCAATCCTGTTATAATTTCAGGTAGTCCCCGATGTAACGACCACAATTGAGCCCAAAATTTCAGTTGTTAAGTGAGACATTTTAAGTGAGTTTTTTTGCCCCATTTGACGACTTTTCTTGCCACAGTTGTTAAGTGAATCTGGCTTCCCCGTTGACTTTGCTTGTTGGAAGGTTGCAAAAGGGGATCGTGTGGCCCCAGGACACTGCAACCGTCATAAATATGAACCAGTTGCCAACCGTCTGAATTTTGGTCATGTCACCATGGGGATGCTGCAATGGTTGTAAGTGTGAAAAACAGTCATAAGTCATATTTTTCAGTGCCATTGTAACCTTGAACAGTCACTAGATGAACTGTTATAAGTTGAGAACTACCTGTACAGAGGGGAGAATGGACAGCAGACTTTGACCTTTGGCTCATTTAAACTCTGAAAGGGTTTCAAAGAGAAAGGAGGGTGAGTTNCCGAGGTGGGTAAAATGAGGACCCAGATTGTTGGGGGCAATATGCTGACTCTCTGTAAACCGCTTAGAGAGGCCTGAAAGCCCTATGAAGTGGTATATAAGTCTACTGCTATTATAATTTATAATTATAAAAAAATTATAAAAATACTTTTGAAAAAAAATTCATATGCTTTCTGAACAGAATCTTGAATTGAGAAGTATAGTGGACCGAGCCAACCGCTTCCTAACTCAAATTATGGCTCCAAAAGTATTTCCCCAACTCTTATTAGTACTAAAATTTATCTACAGGACAAACAGCAACATTTAAATACTATCTATAGCAGTGTTTTTCAACCACTGTGCCGTGGCACACTAGTGTGCCGTGACATAGTGTAAGGTGTGCCATGGGGAAAAAAACTTTATATATAGTCAATATAGGCACAGAGTTAATTTTTTTTTAACATTTTCTAATGGTGGTGTGCCTCGTGATTTTTTTCATGAAAAAAGTGTGCCTTTGCACAAAAAAGGTTGAAAAACACTGATCTATAGAACAAACCCAGAGAGACAAACTAGCTTTCTCGCCACCACAACCCCATTATTCCCATGCAAACTGAATCTAGGATTTCGCTAAAAGAAAGCCCGTTCCCCCTATTTCCCTTGACCAACATCCGACTCTGGTTCGCCTCTATGTGATTAGGCTCGTCACAAGAGACCATCCAGACAGAAACCCAATATTTTTTACTGTTGCCTTTTTTGTTATATTTGTTATATTTATGCTGATCTAGATCTATTTCAAGCTATTTATACTAGTCTCCCTTTATTTATTTATCAGCATAAATATAACAAATATAACAAAAAAGGCAAACCCAGAGAGACAAACTAGCTTTCTCGCCATCACAACCCCATTATTCCCATGCAAACTGAATCTAGGATTTCGCTAAAAGAAAGTCCGCTCCCCTATTTCCCTTGACCAACATCCGACTCTGGTTCGCCTCGATTGGGAGAATCGGGGTAGCGGTGCAGGGCAACCGAAAGGGCAAAACTGTGCGGGGGCTTCGATACTCACCCTTGTATACCTGAGCTGTATTGCCTATTTTTCCAAGGCGTGCCTAGAGCGAGGGCGCAGCCGGCCTGGGCTGGAGGAGAGCAGGGGTCGCTTTCGCCAGCCGGGCCGGTCCCTCTGTGGACGGTGCCGACACAGCCGCTGGAAAGCAGATAGTTCATCCCATACGTGCTGGCCTTGTTCTCTCGTTTCCTGCGCCCCGGGTGGTACTGGTGGTGGTGGTGGTGATGATGATGGTGGTAGTAAAGGGGATGGGGAGAGGACGGGGTGGTAACGGCCACGCCGGAGGCCCGCGGGGCCTGCCCTACTTCCTCCTCCTCCTCCTCCAGCTCTTCTTGGTTCCCTGAATTCACTTCAGCGGTGCCTGCCAAAATTTTGCCCGAGGCCGGAGGCGGCCCAAGTCCGGGCCGGACGCAGGAAAGCGACGAGGAAGACCCACCGCCGGGGCTGTCAGCACCAGACTCGGCCGAGGAGTAGGACGAAGAGAAGGAGGAGAGGGACGCCGACGGGGCCTTCTGGAGGAGCAGCAGCCGCGGCGGCGGCGCTCGCCTTTCCGCGCTCTGCGCAGCAGGAAGAAAGCGCAGGGAAGCCGGCTTGGAGATCAGCTGAGGAGACGACGGAGCTCCGCCGGTAACAACGGAGGCCTCCGAGCGGGGCGGGGATGGAGGCGCCGCCGCCAACGGCGAGCTAAACCGACAGAAGGAATAGCGGGGGGCGGCCGTCGGCGGGAAGGCAGGCGCAGACGGCGAGGACGCCGAAGAGCCGCCGCCACCGCCGCCGCCGCCGCTCCGGCCTTGCGAGGTCTCCCAGATCTGCATCCAGAGCGCATTGGCGGGGCCTTTCTGCTCGGGCTGGATCCAGGCAACTCGGGGATCCATCCATCCGGCCCTGCTTCGCAGCCGGTTCAGACGGCCCGTCAGACACGCGCCTGGAAGAGGAGGGGGAGGGGGAGGGGCGGCAACAGCATCTGAGGGCGGGGCGTTTCGGCTGGAGAAAGGGGCGGGGCGACGCCAACGAACAGGACCCAGTGCAACAACCCCCTTAGCCCCCCCCTTCTTAAAACCAACGTTGCGCCTGCGCAGTGGCAGTCTTTCGCGAGGACAGCTCTCTTCAATCCTCCCTGATTAAAGATTAAAAGCGCTTCTAGGCGCGCTACGAGGACGCCCCGATTGCTGGGAAACGAAACTCTTGAGGATGCGATTTTTATTCCTTCCTTTTGGAGGCGGGAAGCATCTGTAAAGTAACATTTACAGCGTTCGGTGGTCAAAACGCCTGGCTTTTTTTGTATATATATATAGAGAGAGAAAAAGCAGGGCGTTTTGACCACCGAACGCTGTAAATGTTACTTATAAATATATATATGTGTTTTTTTATTTGTGCTGATAAATAAATAAAGGGAGACTAGTATAGATCTATTTCAAGCTATTTAGCTCTCATCAGCTAGCCATACCCTTAATTGGGGCTTACCAGGGGTTGTAAAAATCTAATATATATGTATGTATGTATGTATGTATGTATGTATGTATGTATGTATGTATGTATTAGAAAAGAATGCAATTGCAGGTTCTTTAAAAACATATTTTTCTTTGATAATGGAAAGTTAGGTAAACTTTGAAACGTGCTCAAGATGTCTCAATCAATGTTCCCTCTAATTTTTTTTCAGTGTGAGCAGAAAAGTATAGTGTTTGAGCGGCACATTTTCATGCCTGAGCACTTGAATTTTTTTCACAGATGTCACCTAAGACAACAAGGAATTCAGTATTATTTGAAACTCAAAAGTTATGTTTATTCAAGATAC